TTTGCCGTGTTGCCCAGGCTGGTCTTCAACTCCTGGGCCCAAGTAATCCAGCTGCCTCAGCCTTTGAAAGTGCTGGGATTGCAGGTGTGAACCACTGTACCCCGCCATAGCAGCAGCATTTTTTATGTCCTCAAATACTGGAATCTTTGGTTACTGCCATATCAGCAAAGAAGCCAATCGTTTTAAGAATGTTTTAAGTGAACACCTTGCAAATCCTAAGGATATCTACCTATGTTTTTTAACCTTGTTTGTATTTTAATAATCTGCCTCAAACATGACTTTTGAAATCAGGGACGATATAGAAAAATTAATAACAGCAACTGATAGGATTCAATTCACCACACTGAAACATGTTTTCGTAAATGAGATAAAAATCCTTTCCTGACTACAGGGTTATCTCACCTGTTAGTTCTTTTCACTGCAGGGGAGAAAACAAACAAACAGGCAAAAACCTTTTCCTCTACCCTCTTAGGTTCAGTGTCTGGGGCCTGAGAATTAAACTGGCAAAAGACAGATTAACAGGGGAAAAGGCATCTATTTTATGGATGTTAACATTTTTGCATACATGGGAGCTTCACAGAAAAGAAGAGAAAACCTAAAGAAGCAGTTAGACTTGGGAGCTTATAGATCATTTTAACAAAGGGTGATAAATTGTGGCCAGGTGACTGGACAAAGGAAAGGGGTTTGGGCTTCTAGGGGTGAAAAATTGTAGGAAAGTGACTAGGAAGTATATAGGGAAAGTAATGGAAAGCAAGGGTTGCTTTAGTAAGGTGTCTTTATACCAACTCGTCTCAGTGCCAGCTTTCTGTCTCTAGTGATAAATCACTTTCTTCATTCTGGTACAGGAGAGGGGTGGAAATTTATGCCACCTTCACAAAGGGAAATTTATGTCCTGCTTCTAGGCAGAAAAGGAAAGGGCAGAGAGCCCTTCTTACAACTGCTATTTCTCCATTGCTTTCAGCCCAAAATAATCATATGCCAAGGTGGCATACTTTGGGGTGGTATAACCTGATCCCCTTCACCATGTCACTTCTTTCTTGCCCTGTGGCTGTGCTCAGAGATGCCCTGGGGTTTCAGTGTTGATCTTCCAGAACAGCCATATGTGTCCTGTTAGGAACTATGATCTGTTGGTTAAGAAACAGCCACCTAGATAAAGTTCAAAGAATTCTGCAATCCAGATTGTGTGTGTTCCTAAATGTGGTTTGGCCTGAAGAAACAAGGACCAGGAAACCATGGAAAGCCAGGCAGATGGGAGTTAGAGAGCCTGGCAAGAGTCCTAAGCAAGTGCTCCGTGCCCCCCCTCCCACTTCCCCCTGCCCATCTCTCCAGGAAGTGGCACTCAAACTCAAGCATGTGTGAGAATCACACAGAAGGCTTATGAAAACAGATACCAGGTCTTTGCCCACAGAATTTCAGATTTAGTAGATCTAGAATGCCCAAACATTTGCAATTCTAACAAGCGCTCTAGATGTAGCCTTGCTTCTGGATAGGGACACACTGAGTAGCACTCTCCTAGGGTGGTGAGACTATCTGTCTTCCAGTCAGGCTTTGAACTGACAAAAGACAGATGAACAGAGGACAAGGCATGCATTTTATGGATGTTAATATTTTTACATAAATGGGGGCTTCACAGAAAAGAAGTGAAGAGCCAAAGAAGCAGTTAGACGTGGAGCTTATATGTCATTTTAACAAAGGGAGCTAAATTGTGGCCAGGTGATTAGATGCAAGAAAGGGGTTTGGGCTCCCCACTCTTTCTCCAGTGGGGAGAAAGAAGCTGCTGTGGGTGAAGTTTTCCTGGGGATCTGGAGGAGGAGAAGGGGCCATGCTCATATCTGAATCTAGGTGCTAGAAAGAGAACAGCTCAGATTTTCCATAAACTGTCAGTACTAGTCAGGATGAATCAGAGTGAATCTTTGGAATAGAAAAAAAAAATAAAGATTTTGCTTTCTCATCATCATAACGCTCTTCTATTCAGTCTATGCATAGCTAGTGCAACCTTTTGCTCCACCCAACCAGCTCCATTCCCTTTACCAATTATTTATAATATGCTTGGGTCACTCACGGGAGGAAAACACTGTCAGCATCAAGAGGTAGCAGCATATTCAAAATATATTTTGCTGTCTTGAACAAAAATCTTAACTATTTATTAGTCAGTAGTTCCATATGGTCTTATACTTTTTGTTGAGTCACAGTCTCCCTCTGTCACCCAGGCTGGAGTGCAGTGGTGTGATTTCTGCTCACTGTAACCTTCACCTCCTGGTTTAAGTAATTCTTGTACCTCAGCCTGTAGCTGGGACTATAGGCGTGCGTCACCATGCCCAGCTAATCTTTCGTATTTTTGGTAGATATGGGGTTTTGCCATGTTGCCCAGGCTGGTCTAGAACTCCTGACCTCAGGTGATCCGCCCTCCTCAGCCTCCCAAAGTGCTGGGATTACAGGTGTGAGCCACCATACCTGGCCTGGTCTTATTACTTCTATACATAAGATAGGATCTTTCAATATTTATGTAGGTGAATATTTCCCATGTTTTTTGAGGATTCCCAAAAGACTTTGGGGGTTGCCAAAAAACTTTTAGGGGTTGAATCTTTTCACAGTAACACAAAGGGGAAGCATCAATCCGTGAAAGTTCAGACCAGCAGTTTAATAACACCCTCTCCATAGCTCAGTTCCCAGTACATGAAGAGATTCAAAGCAATCTTCTTGCTCTCAGTTCTTAGAAAGAAAAATTTGAGAGAGATAAAAGCAGTAATTATCTGTATTATTTAATAACTTAAATGTAATAACCTAAGAAAAAACAGATGTCAAAAATATATAGTCTAAAAAAAAATAGAAGCCAAATCCTTTCCTCCTAGGATGTCTGAAAAGGATAGATTCTATGGAGTGTGGATGAAGATAAAAAGGATTCCTACTATGAAAGATGAACTGTGGATTCCTACTATGATTCCTACTATGAAAGATGAACCGTGGACATAGTCACTTGAGACCACTGAGAGCAATTAGCCAATTTCATTGTCACCAGGAGGGCACATACCAGAGAATCTGGGAGAAAGCCTGGGCTAGAGCCGTTAGCATTCTCAGGCCTACTGGTGCTGTGATTCAACAGGCTTTGAGGGGATGAGGAGAACCAGAGATCACCACCATCACTTGTAAAAAGCATACTATAGAAACAGCACAACTGTCAAAAATCAGCTAGAGCTTAGACTGTATGCTGTTTGAAATCTAGCCTGAGTTGCTTTCTTGTGGAGGGATTGAGACATGTGCAGAGATACTTTAAATATGTGCAGGTGGCCCTTCTTTTTAAAGGATATTTCATGAGCTCTTTCTACTCATTAGTTTTCCTAAGAGTTCACCGTTTAAGCTAGAAAGATGCTGCAAGCTATCTCAGATAGCTTCTAATTTGGACATAGCACCAATACTATATACAGAATTGAACAAGTGACCATATCTTCCTGATTCTTCTTTGGACTGAATAGGTGTGATCTTGTTAAGAAAAATGTGTAGGCATAGGGCCAGATTTTATCAGTCTCCATCCCAGAAAAATGGTGGAGCATGCCTGGGCTCTTGCATAATTAAATGACTGGCTTTGTCACAACCTTATACTGTCTTATCCTGGCAGCAACTGCTTCGAGTTTACCATTCTCCTGCTGGACTAACGGTTCCCCAGAGATGTCATCAATCTCACGTACACCAGGTGGATTGAAGCCCAGGTTATATACTCTACTGCAAGGAGGGTGAATCCAACATCGGCTGAGACAATCTTTAAGTGTTTCGAATGGAATCTTCAAACTGATCACTAAATCCACTTCATAGATTTTTGTCTTCAAATCAGGGCTTCGGTTTGTCCTAACATCCTCAGAAAACCATCTGGGAGCCAGTGCTAGGCATACCTGTTCTCCAACTCTGACACCATAAGGCATGTGATCACATGGTCTGGAACCAAAAGACCGTTCTCCATGTATTGTTTTGCCATGTCACTAACTTCGGTGTTGGCCTTGGTGTTCTCCCACAAGAAATGGCCATTGGAGAGATGCTGGAGGCCAAACTTCTGGGCCAAGAGGGGCGGCCAGAGGATGACCATGTGCAGGAGTTCGGAAGTCATTGCCTTTGGGAGGAGTGGCGAGGCCAAAGGTGCAGCCAAGACGACCAGAGGGTGCACCGAGAACTTTGTTTCTTGGCCCCGACCTCTGCCACCCTCTGCTGGCTCTGGTACTGTGGTTACTCTCCTACTCAGGGAAGGAGAGACTTTTAAGACAACCCTTACCCTCAGCCCTGTGCAGGGACCAACTCAGCCCTGTGCCAGTATTTACATTCCATAAAGTCACTGCAAACGCTGAGTTAGCAAAGACTGAACCATTGCTCCTAAAGGAAATACAGGGTTAAGTCTGGCGAGTCTCTGATCACATTTTCGCCAATCAATACATAAACTTGCTTTATGTGTGTTTCTGATTTGGGGACACTTTATTTAATATATATTGTTGATTCATTAATTTTGAACTCACACCCAACAGCACTGTAACTCACACCTGAACAAAACTTATACAGGGTATTTTCTTTGCAAGGCACATTACAGCCTTCTTGGGCTTAAGGACACTTCCGTAACTTTATGACCAGTCTTGGGGGCCATTTTAAACATTGAAATCATCAATGAAAACCATGTGGAAAACATGACATTAAATGGACCATGACATTTTTTTTCTTTTTTTTTCATTTGGAGACAGGGTCTTACTCTGTCACCCAAGCTGGAGTGCAGTGGCACAATTATAGCTCACTGCAGCCTTGATTTCCCTGGGCTCAAGCCATCCTCCCATCTCAGACTCCCAAGTAGCCGGGACTACAGACCTGTGCAATCATGCCTGGCTAATTTTTGTTTTTTTTTGTAGAGATAGGGTTTTGCTATGTTGCCCAGGCTGGTCTCGAACTCCTAAGCTGAAGGGATCCTCCTGCCTTAGCCTCCCAAAGTGCTGGGATTGCAGGCATGAGCCACTGTGCATGGCCAAAATTTTTTTCAATATGAGAGCTGAAACAAGAAGGCAGAGTCTATGTCACCTTGTTTGCCTCGGCTGGGGATGTGCACAACCAGTGACTCAAAATTTTTACCACTCTGCGCGTGTCTGAATGACCATGAAAGTGCCATGAAAATTGATTTGGGGATTACAAATAGATTTTAGTGAGTAGACAAATTTGCAAATATAGAATCTGCAAATGATGAGGATCTACTATACCTAGACTTCACTCTTCTCCCTACTTATAATCTATTGGTACATCCCATTGACTGAACCCAAGCAGAGGTCAAAATAACCTGTCAATACCATCTTATAAAGGTCAACTTCCTGAGTACCAAACAGGGTAAGCAAGGGTGGACAATGGATCTGCAGGGGCTCTAGAAAATATTCAGCACATCATCCCACATTATCTGTAGCCTTGAATGGGATCCCTAGGGATCTGCCCATTTTATAAGACATGAATTCACTCATTCTTTTGTTCATCAAGCGTTTACTAAGAACCTAGCAATAAGCTATGTTCTGTGAGGTGTCTAGTAGAGGCTTGAAAATATTAGAAGATGTTGACCCCATTATCTAAGGGCTCACCATCCAGAAAGAAGAGCTGATAGTCAACTGACACATATTTGAGCACCTCCTATATTCCAGACTTTTTTAGGTGCTCAGGATATGGCAGGTCCCAAGACAAATCTTTGCTCTGGCATAACTTACAGACCAGAGCAGAAGAAAGGCAAGTGGTTGAAAGACCTCACTGAAGGAGGGTTAGTGCTCTCATAGGAGCATTCACTCATCAGGGGAACAAGTAGGGCAGTGAGGGTGGCCACAGAATAGTAGGCAAGAGCTTTCTGGAGGCAAGAAAGAGTATGGATTGAAGGGCTCTGAGTCAATGCCCGGAACCCAGATTGGGGAAGTAAAAATGATGAGAGATGAAGGCATGTCTTTGCAAAAATATGATTATATTACTAGTCCCAGTGCTGAGAAGTGCCAAAGAGAGGGACAGGTTAAAGCACTGCATGAGACAAAATATTCCAGAACTCCTGGCTCACTGTAATAACTTCCTCAAAGACAGGGGTTCCTATCATCCCTCCCCAGCCTCTGTGCTGCACACGGTGCCCTGCACACCTCCACTTGGTAGCATGCATTCTTCTAGCCCATAGCTGCCCTTAATTGCCCAGGGAGGCCCACCTCCTCCTCAGGAGCACAAGAGTCAGAGTGGTAAAGAGAAGTTCTCCAAAGAGAGACTCAAAAGCTTAAAGAAGGTAAAATTGTGGGGCAAGTGGGATCCTGGGGTACTGCTCAAATCACATCATGCATGGCTCTCTTTTCCCTCATGGTGGTTCTGAGGTCAGGGAAATGTTCAACAACAATGCACACACCCTCCCAGTTCAACATCAAGTAGTCATGCTCCATAGAAGTTGGAAGAATGGATGGATGATGGATGGATGGGAACATAGCAAAACCTAATTCTCTATACTGTGTGGGACCAGGCAGGCTTCAAGCAGTGGTTCCTTTCCCTCACTGAGGCTGGGAGTTCACCAAGTCCCTATATGCCTGGCTCTGCACTAGTCCCTCTCGCAGACATGAACTCATTTCATACTTCCAATTACCTTGAGAGGTGACTATTGTACACTCCATGTAACGCATGGTGGCTTAGTACCCTATTCCAAACATCATAGTTAGCAAGAGGTGAATTTAGACTTGACTCTAATGCCTCTGACTCCAAGTCACGTCCTCTCTCTGTGTTCCTTTTCCATTTGCTTCCTCTTTTCTTTTCCTTTTTCTAATTATTTAGCAGGAAGTCCTTTTGAAATGGGATCTTCTCTGTTCTAAACAGTACTTAATGGAATACTCTCCTTTCAAAGACACTTTAATTTCTGTGAATTATGGGAGCTCTTGCTACTCTCTCGGGAGTGTCTTGTTCTTTTAACCTTTCGAAGCACTTCCCTACCCCTCATAACATTTAAACCTCCCAAGAACCATAGAGGATAATTAGGTGAAGTTATGATCCGTAGTTTCAGATGAGTAAACACAGGCTCTGGGGAATTTAATAACTAATCTGAAAGTCATGCTGTCTTACCTTGAGACAAAACAAGAAAGACTCTCCAGACTTCCAGTCTCTTCCTCCTGGCCTAGAAATGGCAAGTGGGCAACATCTTTTGCTGAGAGAAGCTCCGAGGCGAAGTTCAGGGAATGAGAAAGACCCGTGATCCGTTGACAATGCCTGCCATGGGTGAGAAAAAGGAAAATGGAGGCACATGTGCTTGGTATTTGCTATCCCAACTTACCCATAACTATTTCAAAGCCTTAAGTTGTTTCTCACCTTAATGAGGAATTATGTTAATTCTCTTACAAGTAAGGCCTGGCACATAGTTGATGCTTACTACAGAGACGTACTATAATTTACTGAGTGACTGCTATTTATCAGGCACTGTGCCAGGTTACATAGCTACATTCAAGTTTATCTTACTAAGTATTCAGATTTACTAAATGTAAACACAGCCCTAGATATACTTTGAAAAAACCACACCCCTGTATTACACAGGTCTTAGTACCAGAATTTTTAATATCTTAATAAAGAATTCTTACATGCTAAATAAGCCCAACTTAAGTTTATTAAGGAAAGTATTGGTCAGGGCACAGTGGCTCATGTCTATAACCTTAGCACTTCGAGAGGCTAAGACTGGAAGATTTCTTGAGCCCAGTTTGAGATCAGCCTGGGCAATATAGCGAGACTTGTCTCTACAAAAAAAAATATTTTTTAATTAGCCAGGTGTGGTAGTGCATGCCCGTAGTCCCAGCTACTTGGGAGGCTGAGTCAGGAGGATTGCTTGAGCCCAGGAAGCAGAGGTTGCAATAAGCTGTAATTATTGTGTCACTGTCTGTAGCCAGAGTCTGTCTCCAGGAAAAAAAAAAAAGGAAGGAAGGAAGCATTTATATTTATATCTGGGATAAAAGCACTGTCAGTATTTTAGGGATGAAGTTTAGTGCCAGCAGGCACAGTGAGGGCAGGAGCTCTGTTCCATTCATCTTCATGTCTCCAGTGTCTGGCCAGATGTACATTAATATAAAAATGGATGGATAAGTGAATAAATCAATGAAGCTCAGAGCCATTTGCTGATAATGCAACCAGTGACATACTATATGTCCTCTCTCTAGTGGTCATGAAAGTTGCAAGGACAATTTTATCAACTTTGGTCCACAATTTTTTTGTAGAGATGGGGGTCTCACTCTGTCGCCCAGGCTGGTCTCGAACTCCTGGCCTCAAGCAATCCTCCTGCCTCAATATCCCAAAGTGCTGGGATTACAGGCATAAGCAACTGTATCTGGCCTCATTAAAAAAAAATTGTAGAGACAGGGTCTCCCTATGTTGCCCAGGCTGGTCTCAAACTCCTCGTCTCAAATGATCTTCCTGCCTCCGGCTCCTAATAATCATGATAATGGATTATTATGGTGGTGGGTTCCCTATAAAAGGGTCAGTTCACTGCCCCACCTCCACCCTCTCTCACTCTCTCTTCTTCTGTTATGTGATGATGTAGCAAGAAAGCCCTCACAAGATACCAGCACCTTGATATTGGAGTTCCAGCCTCCAGTACTATGAGCCCATAAATTTCTGTTCATTGTAATTTCCCAGTCTGTGGTATTCTGTTATAGCCACACAAAATGGACTGAGACAGGGACCTAGTAAGAAGCTATGCTCTCTGTCAAAATGTTTCTGCATTTCTGAGAGGCAGTGAACCCACAATGGCTTAGCATGTGTGTGTGTGTGTGTAAAAGCTAAGAAAAAGTAAAGTACTGGAGAGGGAAAAAAAGTCAGTTAATAACTCAAAGTATTATTCCAGGATGTCATCATTGGCATTAGGGCTGTGCTGAATTTGAGTTTAAAAAAAGTAATATTTAGTGAAATATATTCTACACTCTTTCTATTCAAGGTACAGGGTTGAGTTTTCAAAATCATACTTGCTGAGTTTTTTTTTGTTTTGTTTTTTACTATTTTATTGAGGTATTCAGTACCACCTTTAACAAGGAGAAGGCAGGAGCCATGTGTGTCAATATTAATTAAAGACCTATTTGTCTTCTTTTAGAGATGGCACTAACAGCAGATTCCTTTCTCATTAAGAAGTGGACAGTTAACTGGAGACGCAGATCCACAAGACAGGGCCTTTGGAGACCTGGCAAGAGAAGGAGATGGAAAGTACTAAGCCAGTGAGGGACCCTAGGGCTACACTCTCTTCTCAGTGCAGGCAGAGCTCTAGTGTTGACCCCAGAGAAGAGAGGAAGGATTTTTTTTTAGTCTGCCCAGAAAAAGAATAGTCCAAGGTTAAAGGATCTCAGCAAGTGCAACAACAACACCAGGGGAGGGGGACTGCTCATTCTGTTTCTCCAGACCACCTGGGGAGATGGCTCCAGGCCCCTCTCTTTTCATGGGACCAGTTGAATGTAGTCCTTCCTGTTACCAAAAGTGGTCAGATAATCAGGGGCTGTCCCTCTAGACACAATCCAGCCACTAGTCCTTTAAAAGTTAGAGATTTTTAAAAATCACATTTTGTTTTTTTTTTTTAAAGTATATATGTATGTATGTATTTATTTATTTGTTGAGACAGGGTCTCCTTCTGTCACCCCAGCTGAAGTACAGTGGCACAATCACGGCTCACTGTAGCCTCTACCTCCTGGGCCCAAGTGATCCTCCCACCTCAGCCTCCCAAGTAGCTGGGACCACAGGTGTGTGCCACCATGCTTGGTTAATTTTTAAATTATTTTTGTAGAGATGGGATCCTCCTATGTTGTCCAGGCTGATCTTGAACTCCTGGCCTCAGGTGATCCTCCTGTCTTAGCCTCTCAAAGTCCTGGGATTACAGACATGAGCCACCATGCCTGGCCTACTTATTTATTTATTTTAGAGATAGGGTCTCACTCTGTCATCCACACTGGAGTGCAGTGGTGCAATCATAGCTTATTGCAGCCTCAAACTCCTGGATTCAAGAGATCCTCTCACCTCAGCCTCCCAAGTGGCTAGGACTACAAGTGTGTGCCACCATGCCCAGATAATTTTTTAATTTTTTGTACTTTTTATTTTTTGTAGAGATGGAGTCTCTGTGTTGCCATGGCTGGTCTTAAAGTCCTGGCCTCAGGCTATTCTTTTGCCTAAGCCTCTTAACATGCTGGGATTACAGGTATGAGCCACTGTGTCAGGCTAAAAATCACATTTCTTCATTTTATACATAACATTCAGTGCCTAAAACAAAACTCTTCTATTATCATCAAGGGTCATCCTTGATTATCCAGCTTAATCCTTAAGGCCCACAACTGATCACCAAGGTGGGTTCTCATTCCAAAGGAGTGTCTACTTGTTGGGGCCATGGGTTGGTTCTCAGGTCCTATAAATGGACTTGTCCCAGGGGCCCCAACCAAGACTGTGTGACAATCCAGTAAAATACAATAAGAAAGCCAGAATCGGCTGGGCGCAGTGGCTCATAAATATTTACCTCATAAATATTTATTATATGGTGTCAATAAATATTTACCTATATCATTTTTAGTGACTGAATAATAGTTCAGTAGAATAGATCTACTATACTTTATTTGAAATATCTTATTAGGTATTTAGATCATTTCCAATTTTTTACTTCTATAAACATCACCATAGTGGACATCCTTGTAAAATACATTTCTGTTGTCTATGCCCATTTTAAATAAGCTTTTGATAGATATTGCCAAACTGCCCTCCAGAATTGTACATTTTCACTAGTCGTGAAGCAGCATGTCAATTTGACTATTGGAAATTGGTAGCTGAATGTGGTTTTAGTTTACATTTCATTGATCAATGAAGTTGAACATTTTCCTCATAGACTTGTTGCTTGAGGCCATTTTCAAAAAGAAATAGGATCGCTGGTGAGCAGTGTTCTGTTCCTCTAGTCTCCCTATCAGTGCAAGCCACTGTTTACTCAGTAAGGGAAAGGGCCAACCTAGAGAAACATCATAAAGCAGGCAAGACTCCTCACTAAGAACCCATCCTCCCAGATGAGATTCCAGTATCCCCCCTCACCCCGCAAAACCCACCGTCAAGGAAGAACTGAAAGCTCATTTATACTAGACTAGAAGTAATTAATAGCACTTTTGCTGAGCTATCCTTCCCAGGGTGTGGGGAGGGCGGGCGGGTATTTAATCCTTCTAAAAGCCTCAAGTGAAGGGAACAAAGCTGTCAAAATTACAGGCTTTCCTCAGGGGGTGGTAGAGATGTTTGGGGCAGGTGGAAGAAGCCAGTTTTTCCAGATCCGTAAGAATTCTAGCACCCTCCTTACCAGGATGTAGGCAGGCCTCCAAGAAGAAGAGGTTGATCACTGGACAGAAGGCTTGTGTTTCAGCATTAACCCCTGTACTCCCTGAGGCTCCATTCTGAACTTTAGTTAGGAGGTGCCTTGCAGAGTTCTTTACAACTATTGGTGCCTAATGTGTGGATGGTGAGTTCCAGTGTGGTGGCATGATATTAAAATATATGAACTAACACCTTTTCTGCAAGATATCAGGCTGCTTCAGATATAACATGAGATCCTAACTTGTGACTCAATATTTCTTTGGAGAGTTGTTTCATGGAAAAAAAATTACTGAAGGAAAAAAGCCTGTATTTATGAAGATGTTTGTTGCAACACAAATGGGGTAGTAAATTATGGTACAATTGCTAGATTAAAAATTACACAATCATTAAAAATAATCATCAGGACATAGGAAAATGTTCCTTTATATAAAAGTAAATGAAAAAATTACATCTATACATATGTATAAAAAATTATGCCCAATCATACTTTAAAATTTACATGTAGGCCGGGCGCAGTGGCTAACGCCTGTAATCCCAGCACTTTGGGAGGCTGAGGTGGGTGGATCACGAGGTCAGGAGATCAAGACCATCCTGGTTAGGCCGGGCGCGGTGGCTCAAGCCTGTAATCCCAGCACTTTGGGAGGCCGAGACGGGCGGATCACAAGGTCAGGAGATCGAGACCATCCTGGCTAACCCGGTGAAACCCCGTCTCTACTAAAAAATACAAAAAACTAGCCAGGCGAGGTGGCGGGCGCCTGTAGTCCCAGCTACTCTGGAGGCTGAGGCAGGAGAATGGCGTGAACCCGGGAGGCGGAGCTTGCAGTGAGCTGAAATCTGGCCACTGCACTCCAGCCTGGGTGACAGAGCGAGACTCCGTCTCAAAAAAAAAAAAAAAAAAAAAAAGACCATCCTGGTTAACATGGTGAAACCCCATCTCTACTAAAAATACAAAAAAATTAGCTGGGTGTGGTGGTGGGCACCTGTAGTCCCAGCTACTTGGGAGGCTGAGGCAGGGGAATGGTGCGAGCCCAGGAGGCAGAGCTTGCAGTGAGCCGAGATCACGCCACTGTGCTCCCACCTGGGCGACAGAGCAAGACTCCATCTCAAAATAAATAAATAAATAAATAAAAAATAAATGTATATGCAGGCCGGTGCAGTGGCTCACGCCTGTAATCCCAACATTTTGGGAGGCCGAGGCAAGCGGATCACCTGAGGTCAGGAGTTTGAGACCAGCCTGACCAACATGGTAAAACCTGGTCTCTACTAAAATACAAAAATTAGCTGGGCGTGGTGGCACACGCCTGTAATACTAGCTACTCGGGAGGCTGAGGCATGAGAATCGCTTGAACCTGGGAGGAGGAGGTTGCAGTGAGCCGAGATCGTGCCACTGCACTCCAGCCGGGGCGACAGAGTGAGGTTCCATCTCAAAAAAAAAAAAAAAAAAAAAAAGATAATATAAATAAACAAATAAATAAAATAAAAATATATAAAATGAGTTCAGAAGAAAATACAGCTAAAAGCAGGATTTATATCTGGCTTCTGACATTAACAGTAATTTAAATTTTCTTCCTCATTCTTTTTGCATTTTCCAAGTTTTTGGCAGTAAGTATGTGTTACTTTTAAAAACAATTTTTAATCAAATAATTGTGAATGCTTATTATGTGATTGTTGTACGGTAGAATATAAATGAATAAAAGCAGATTTTAAACACGTAGGTGTGCTATTACACATATTACACTTCTGTTTTGGGGGGTAAATTGCAGATGAGCCTCTCTCTTACACCAGTTTCCATTGGTGTTGGGATTATATTGTTTATAGAGCTATTACTAGTTACCTCTGTGATTTCTAGATCAAACAGGATATATTGTTTGGATAATATTTCTTCTGTTTTGGGGATCAGAACCAATATTACCAAACAATATATCCAAACAATAGGATCCAACAATAGTGGGGAGAGGATAAGTAGGCAGAGGATTGTTGGATCCTATTGTTTGGATTTATACAAACAGAGCTGCTCCTCCACGCAGCCTAGGGGCTGTGTGAGAATGCTATTAATATGCAGATTATGACAAACAGCCCAGAATTGGTAGCTCACTTGATGCTTTTGAAATCACTTGTACACAGATTATCTCACCTCTCTCTCAACCATTCCAAATGACTGATTTAGGTCAAGGACAGATGAACTTGTAATTTCACAGAACTGGAGGCATGGGAAACTAAGGAAACCTGTAATCAAATTTGAACAGAAGGTCTTCAAACCCAAAGTACTTGATTTGAATTAATAGTGTTATAAAAGTTTTTTCAAAAATCTGAGTGGGGACGAGAGGGTCAGGTGATGACCCAGCTGTGGGAAGAGAGGGTGGGGATGGGCCGAGAGCAAGGTACGTGTATATTAGTGCTGTGCTTCCTGTTCCTTTTCTAGTCGTGAGCCCTCAGGCAAGTTACGCAAGCTCCCTGAGCCTCATTGGCCTCATCTGTAAAATGGGACTGGTAATAAGAATGGGTTGTTTGAGGCCAGGTGCAGTGGCTCATGCCTATAATCCCAGCACTTTGGGAGGCTGAGGCAGGAGGATTGCTTGAACCCAGGAGTTTGAGCAACATAGTGAGATCCCATCCCTCACCATGAAAATCTAAAATTTAAAAATTACAAGAAAATTTAAAAATTACCTGAGCATGGTGGTGCACACCTATAGGCCCAGCTACTTGGCAGGCTGATGCAGGAGGACCACTTGAGCCCAGGAGGTCAAGGCTGCAGTGGGCCATGATTACACACCACTGCACTCCAGCCTGGGCAACAGAGCAAGACCCTGTCTTGGAAAAATGAGGGTAGGGGGGTGTTGCTTGAAAACCAAATGAGTTAATTTGTATGTATAACATGTGCAGAGCATGCTCATTAAGTGATAAGTATTGTATTTCTTATTTTCTGAAAAACCAGGAAAACAGTACTTTCTTACTTCTTTGTCAGTAGATGGGGCCAAGAGGGTGGGGAAGCCCACAGCCATTGTCTTGTCCTAGTAGGTCTAGGAGGCAGTGGGAGGGCCTCTGCCATCCTTGCATGCTTGAGAAGAAGGAGAATTATACAGCAGTGACCCCAAAGGTCAACCTTGAGCAGCTAGAGGATAAGGGAGGCGGGCATCACTCACTTTGCAGTTTTGCCAGTGTGTCACTGTGGCTGACTGACCACCTCTGGCCAAGTTTGAAATAAAGACGGGTGAGCTGAAATTCACATCACTGAGAGGCAGTGGAGCAGAGTGGTTCATGGTCTAGATTTAAAATTCAGTTCGGCTGGATTAGAATCCCTGTCTCTCCACATCCTGGCTGTGTGCATCTGGCCATGTTACTGAGTCCCCCTTTGCCTCAGTTTCCTCATCTGATGAAAAAGGAATGATGATGATGATGATGATAACAGTACCTACCTCTCAGCGTTGTTTTGAAGATTAAATGAGTCCATCTGTATAAAGTGTTTAGAACTGCATCTGGCATGTGGCAGGGGTTTGCTCTTATTATTAGGCACACTCTGTGGAATGAATAGGAGAGACAATTTAGGTCAGAAAAGATGTCTGAGATTTTGTTTCCCTGGATCACAGTTTACACTGGTAGACAGGTGGCAGAAAGTTTCAGAAAGGCTTGTTCAAGTTCAGATAGTCAGACGGCAGGAGGGAGGCCGAGAACCTTGGCTCCTCAACCCTTAGTCTCTATGCTCCCTGTGTAGCCACACTTGTGAATCCAGGCAAAGGTGTGTCATGAATATGAGACATCATCAGCTCTCTCATTGCTATGTCACCTCTGTGGGACCCCAGGAATCTATAGGCTCCCCACCTTAGCTGGAATAAAAGCTGGAATAAAGCAGATAACAGGGTCAGCAGAGTCATTTGGGACTGCAGACAAGTTCATGGGAAAGGAAAGTTACTTGTTTGGTACCAAAAGCCACCCGCCAGCTAAAGAAACAACCCTGCCCTGGGGGTTGGAATGGCAGCTCCCACTGAGCCAACTGGCCCAGCATTCCGGGGATTCAGACAACCAAGAGCATGTACTCTGGAGGGAATATCATGGCAGAAAACAGGTCCTCACGGTTACTACTGGTCACGTGACCCTCTGGTAAAGGCAGAGAAGGAAATCTGAATTTTCCGTAGGAAACAGCAGAGAAGGAAACAGCAGAGAAGGAAATCTGAATTTTCCGTAGGAAGATGTGTTCTAATAAGGTTCTGATCTTTTCAATATCGTTCATTACTTAATATAAAATATTATGCCAAAACATAATACCAAATAAATACCAAAGTAAACCATGCAAATCATAAACAATTAGAAAATACAGAAAACATAATGAAGAAAGTAGAATTATCATTTTTTGTGTGGTTCTTTTTGGCTGTTTATGTATATATAACTTGATATAATTTAGGTTATAAAGTACATTAAATTGTATATTCTGAATTTGGTATATTATTTCTTTTATTTATTATTTATTTATTCTTGAGACAGGGTCTCACTCTGACACCAAGGCTGGAGTGCAGCGGTACGATCATGGCTCACTGCCTTGACCTCCTGGGCTTGAGCAATCCTCCCACCTCAGCCTCCTGAGTCACAGAGATAACAGGTGTGTGCCATCATGCTCGGCTAATTTTTGAAATTTTTTGTAGAGCTAGGATCTCATTATCTTGCCCAGGCTGATCTTGAACTCCTGGGGGCAAGCACTCCACCTGCCTTGGCCTCCCAAAGTGCTGGAATTACAAGGGTGAGCCACTGTTCCTGGCCTGCTTTTGGTATATTATATCATAAGCATTTTTCATGTCATTAAATATTCCTTAAAAATATCATTTTTAATAGCTGCAAAGCATTCTGTTGGATGGATGGACCATAATTCTTTGAACTATTGTTAGGTTATTTTCCATTGTTTTTACAGCTACAGGAATGCAGCCCTAGATCACCGAACTTTAATATGTGTGCACACCTCTGATTATGTCCTGAGGTTAAAATCCTGACATAGACTGGCTACTGAGGTTTTGCTTCTGCCCTTAGGAAGGACTCAAAACTCCCCTTTCAGGGCCCCTTGGGAATGAGGAGGAGAAGGGGTGAAGACAGTGGTTCAGATGCAAAATCATTCTCAGGACATGGTGGTAAAAGGTGAGGGTGTCAGTGATAGTAGGTTGGAAATGCTAGTGTCCACATGGGGGCCTCTCTCTCTAGCTTCCCACTTTTGGGGATCTGTTCTCTAGTCTCCTGACTTGCCATCTTAGAAACCTGTCTCAAATGACTTTAGCAAAAGGGAGAGTCAATTGCAAGAATCCTGAAATATCTTCTGTAATCAAAAGAAGGGCATTTGACCAAACCATGGGAAGGGCAGGGATACAGCTGGCCCTGGACCAACCAAATAACCCCCTAGGAGGGCAGGTTCTCAAAGAATATGAAACTTCCACTTTGACCTAAAGGAGTTGGGGCAGGACAGTGCTCTCAGAAAAAGGAGATACTAGTTTCTAGAGAAAGGGAAGGCTCATGGCCTTTTGGGTGTTGTTTTCTAAGAAGCTGAGGTGGCAAGATGGACCTGGGGCTGCTGCCTCCCACTAGGGGCACTACCTGCCCATGCGGTGGAAAAGTCTAGGTGTGGGAGCCTTTGTTCTGGTTTTGCTCGAGGCCTTAGGGAGGAACATTCTTTTCTTTTAGGTTGTCTCACTGTTTCTTCCTGCTTTCAGGTTGGTGAGTCCTCTAGGACAAAGAGATTCAAGTATGGATCTTGGGGACAAGAGTGAAGGCAGCCAGTAGAGGGTCTAAGTCTTCACTCAAAGGTATACAGTTAGCACTGTGGGCTTCCACAAGGTGCAGTCCGGCTCAACAACCTGAAGCTTTCACACAGAGATGTGGGGCCAAAATGAGTCAATAACAAATGCTGTGCTTTTGCCTAGAGTGTCCCTAGTGCATATCTTCCTCCTGTACCTGTGGTAGAAGAAGGCTGGGAGTCCTAGCCAAATATCTGTCCAGCTCTTCAACACTATCCAGAAGGGAAGAACATGTTTAGGGCTTTTGAGACACATTGCCAAATTGCTCTGTTAAAAATGGAATATTTTGGTATCAAGCGAGAAGTCCAAACCAGGGGGCTCCTGCCAGTCCTGGGCACGTCATCCTCTCAATCAGCTCTAAGTAGCATGCCAGCATTCTGCACAGGATAGAGTTCTCCTTAGAATTGGTTGATCAGACATGACAGTCACAATCATACCAAAGTTATTTGACAAAATATCATATTGCTTTCTTCAATATAATGTTCTTATATCATTTTAAAAAACAGTTCCTGCTTTTTTTTTTAAGTAAAAAGTTGCTAGGGGAATGGAGTACTTTCAAATGGTGTCGAATTCAGAAGAGCTTCATTGGGACACTGTTTTGCTGTGCTTTTTGTTGCCACTGAAGTTTCCTTCTCGAGCACAGGCATTAGCATTCTGGTTGTAGGCTTTCTGCTTTCTCAGGGGTTGGTATTTTTTTGAAGACTGGCCAAACATAGATGAACACCTCATTGCAAGGACTGTCTACCATGACCTCTCTAAGCAGCAACGTGCTGTGATTCGCAGTGAGCCAGGAGGGCATGTGACAAGCTCACACCAGTAGCCACAGACTGGTATTAGCTGAAACATCAAACCCTGTGTGGTTGTTGTATAGTTGCATGATTGAATCAAAGAATGTTAGAGCTGGAAGGACCCTTGGAGACCATAGACTTCAACCCTTTCCACCAGATCTACCCACCTTACAAATAAAGGAACTGAGACCCAGGGAGAGGAAAAGGCTTGTCCATGGTTACACAAGCAGAATAATCAGAATCAAGAATAAGGTGAGGCCAGGCATGGTGGCTCATGCCTGTAATCCCAGCACTTTGGGAGGCTGAGGCAAGTGGATCATCTGAGTTCAGGAGTTGGAGATCAGCCGGTCAACATGGTGAAACCCCATCTCTACTAAAAATACAAAAATCAGCTGGGCATGTTGGTGGGTACCTGGAATCCCAGCTACCCGGGAGGCTGAGGCAGGAGAATCTCTTGAACTCAGGAGGCAGAGGTTGCAGTGAGCCGAGATTGTGCCACTGCACTCCAACCTGGGTGACAAGAGCGAGACTCCGTCTCAAAAAAAAAGAATTGGGTGAAATTTTTACAGTGTTAAAAAACAAGAACCATCAGCCTAGGATCCTGTACCGAGTGAAATTATCCTTCCAAAGAGGAGAGGCTTTCAGTTTTCAGTCTGGCAGGTAAGGGGCATGGAAGTCATCGCTTCATCCTGGCAACAAGTAAAAAGCTAAACAAACTGAAAAGCTAACTCGTTCTAGATCTGTCAAGGAAGTGAGGTCACAGGACAAACTACTGCCCCCCAAATTAGAGACAGCCAGGCAGATAATGAGAATCCAAACTTACTGGAGCAGAAACCCACAAGCAGAAACCTCTGAGAGCCAGTGTCGCTGCAGGAAAAAACTGCTCTATGATTAACGAACGAATGGCTGGAGGCTTGGTAATGACAAGTCTGACAGTTAAGAGCCCCAGGGACCCAGTTACAGGTAAGACACTTTTATGAGTTTACCTTCTGGAGCTCTACCAGGTTCTCAGAGTGACGACTGAAGGAAAATCCCTTTATGTTCCTGGAGGAGGAAGGGAAAAGGAACCATTTTGAAATATACCAGAGCATTCTGGTCCCACTTAACAAGGCCTACCCCAAGAGAAACTATTATATCAGGATCTGCCCTATTGGGGTTTAATTAGAGCTGACCCAGGGAAGGGAAATATCCAACTCCAGCCTCTTTTCCCATTCTGTCTCATGTCAAGGGGTGCAGGGGAAATGAGGAACCCTTATAAAGTTCTCAGCCCTGATGCACAGGCTCCCTAAAAGACTGTGACCCAATCATAGGACTATAGAATGCTACCCCCACACCTCACATCACACCACTAAAGGTCTGTCTACCTAGTGCATCATGCCTGCCTTTCAATAAAAAATTATAAGGCATAAATTACAAGGCAAATTACAAGGCAAAAAGTTACAAGGCAAAAAACACTGTTCAAAGGGACAGGGCAAGCATCAAAACTAGACTCAGATATGGCAAAAATGTTGAAATTATAAGACAACATTATTCCACCAGGAATATTATCAGGCCAGGAATTTAGAACATTGTGAGGTCAGGAATTTAAAACAACTATGACGAATATGCTAAGAGTTCAAATGGAATAAGTAAACAACATGCAAGAGCAGATGAGTGCTATAAGAAGATAGATGGAAAATCTAAGACAGAATAAAAAAATCAATGCTAGAGCTCAAAAACACTGCAACAGAAATTAAGAATGCCTTTGATAGGCTGGGCATGGCTGAAGAAAGAATCTCTGAGCTTGAGGATTATGTCCATAGAAGCGCCTAAAACTGAAAAGCAAAGAGAAAAAGGAAGGAAGAAACAAAACAAAAACAAAAACCCAGGACAGAATCGTGGGACAACTATAAAACATATAATATACATTTAATGGGAATACCAGAAGAAAAGGAAAGGAAGAAAGGAATAGAAGAAATATTTAAAACAATAATAACCGAGGCCAGGCATGGTGGCTCACACCTGTAACCTCAGTGCTTTAGGAGGCTGAGGTGGGTAGATCACTTCAGGTCAGGAGTTCAAGACCAGCCTGGCCAGCATGGCGTTTCCTCATTCAGTCTATTCCTGTGAGATCCTACCCTTTTGGTCTAATCACATTTCTACATGGTGGCCAATCATGCCTTTCCAAGCTCTACTAAACATACAAAAACAATTAGCTGGGCATGGTGACACACGCCTGCAATCCCCGCCACTTGGGTGGCTGAGGCACAAGAGAGAATTGCTTGAACTTGGGAGGCAGAGGTTGCAATGAGCCGAGATCACGCCATTGCATTCCAGCCTGGGCAACAGAGAAAAACCCTGTCTAGAAAAACAAAACAAAAACAAAAACAAACAAACAAAAGATAATAACTGATAATTTCCCTCAAATTAATATCAGACACCAAACCACAGATCCAGGAAGCTCAGAGAACATCAAGCAAGATAAATGCCAAGAAACTCCCGCATTTAGCATAAAATATTCAAACTGTAGAAAATAAAAGATAAAGAAAAAATCTTGAAAGAAGCCATAGGAGAAAACAACTTAGTACATGGAGGAGCAAAGATAAGAATTACATCTGACTTCTCTTTAGACACCACACAATTGACCAGGTGTGGTGGCTCATGCCTGTATTCCCAGTACTTTGGGAGGCCGAGATGGGAGGATCACTTGAGCCAAGGAGTTTGAGACCAGCCTAGCCAACATAGTGAGATCCCATCTCTACAAAAAATTTAAAAATTAGCTGGGCTTGGTGGTGCATACCTGTAGACCCAGCTACTCTGGAAGCTGAGGTAGGAGGATTGCTTAAGCCCAAGACTTCAAGGATGCAGTGAGCTATGATGGTGCCACTGCACTCCAACTTGGGGACGGAGTAAGACCTTGTCTCTAAAAAAGTTAGGAGACAAAAAGAAAAGAAACCATGCAATTAAGAATAGAATGGCTTGAAACGGTGTTGAGTTGAGGGGAGGAAAAAAAAGACCCAACACCAACCTAGAAGTTTATAACCTGTGAAATTATCCTTCGAAAGTAAAAAAGACTTTTTCAGACAAACAAAAATTCAGGGAATATGTCACCAGCAGACCTACCTTGCAAGAAATGTTAAAAGAAGTTCTTCTGAGAGAGGAAATGACATGAGTAAGTGTGATCATATGATAGATACATATTGGTCTTCGTCCACAGTTCCTGGTGGGTAACTCCCATAGCCCTTGTTACAGTCTTTTGTTATAATATTGGGACACTACAGGTCTCTGAAGCAGGCCTCAGGAAACAGAATCTCTCTCTCTGACCTTTTCCTGCCCTCCCTTCATCTGCCAGAGAGGGTCCTGTCACCTACCCTGGAGGAAGGAATGCTACACAGATAGACCAAAAAGAATCTGGACAGGCCTTGCTGAGTTTCCCCACTCAGTCTATTCCTATGAGATCCTACCCTTTTGGTCCAATCACATTTCTACATGGTGGTCAATCATGCCTTTCCAGTGACGTCTCCCTAAAAGGCCCAAGATAAGTTGTGTGCTTGGCATGCACCCATAATCCCAACTACTTGGGAGCTTGGGTGACTGAGGCAGTTGTTCAAGGCGAGCCTGGGTAACATAGCAAGACCCCCTCTCTAAAAAAAGCAAAACCAAAACCAAAACAAAATGCCCAGGAGGACAAAATTTGGGGAGCTTCCTGGTAGCTGAAGACCTGGAGATTCCTGGAGGGCAGTGGGTCCAGGGAGGGCATGGAGGGTCCATGCTCCTTTTTCCATACTTCACCCTATACGTCTCTTCATCTGTAATATCCTTTATAATCAGCTGGTGTCTGGCAGTGGTAGGGGCCAGCCTTGGGGACAGAGCCCTCAACCTGTGGGATCTGATGCTATCTCCAGGTAGATAGTGTTGGAGTTGAATTGGAGGCCACTCATTGGGTGTCCACTGCAGACTTGATTGCTTGCTTGGTGGTGGAGAGAAACACTTCTCACATCTGGTCACAGAAGTCTTCTGTGTTGATGACTTCTGTTTTGAGTGAGAGAACAGAAAAAGCATGTTGAGGGTTACACTCTCTCTCTCTCTCTCTCTCTCTTACAGTAAGGTATGCAGATCCACATGAAGAAAAGAAGAGCATTAAATGAAAAATTTCCCATCTCTGCAGTAAAACATCCAAACAAAACAAATACATTCCCAAAACATCTGCTTCTGGACTGAGTGTATGTAGTTGGAAGAGGGAAAGGAAAGATGACCCAGAGTCTTTGGGGGAAAGACGTTGCCCTGAAGGAAAAGGGAAGGAAGGAGCCCCCAAGGCTAAAGGAAGGGGCTCAGTGACCTGGTTGAGCCTGGACTGGCAGGGGTTACTTCTGCTTGAGAGTGGGGCCTGGAACACTGCTACCCCAGGTGGGGAGAGGAGTTAGAGGAGGGCAAAACGTGCATGGGGAGGTCTGTGACGAGAAAAAGCCCATGAAATGGCATCTCATCTAGCCACAAGCCAAGTATGGATCTCAGGGAAGGGCTGGGTATGTGGCTCATGCCTGTGATTCCAACACTTTGAGAGACCAAGACAAGAGGGTTGCTTGAGCCAAAGGAGTTTGACACCAGCCTGGACAACATAGCGAGACCCCCTCTCTGCAAAATTTTAAAAAACAATAGGCCCAGCGTGGTGGTGCATACCTGTAGTCACAGAGACTCAGCAGGCTGAGGCCAGAGGGATTGCTTGAGCCCACAAGTTTGAGGTTGCAGTGAGCTATAATCACACCACTGCACTCCAGCCTGGGTGACAGAGTGAAACCTTTTTTCTGGGTGACAGAGTGAGACCTTATCTCTAAAAATTTTTAAATTAAAAAACAGATTTCTTAATAAGCACTTATTAAATACCTTCTATGCTTCGCAGCCTTAGAGTGTTAAGGGTTCATGCAGTTCTTTAATTTGAGGAGTTATCCTTCTCACCCTTAACCACTAACTCAGTATCCCCCTCCCTAAGCAATCAATATGATTTTTACCATAGAGGAATTCATATAGGAAAGGGCTTTATGCCTAAGGCTGTCCATCTATTGTCTGAAGAAGGCCTGCCTTCAAAAACATGTAATCACGTGATGTAGAATATTAGAGGTTCAGAAAGGGAAACAGCAACTCAATAAGCTTTGGTGACTACTGAATTCAGTCCTTCCATATCATAGGTGCTCAAGAAATTTTATGGACTAGTTGAAAGGATCTGGGCAATGCCTCTGTTAGGAATTGTTTATCACCAGGACCAGTTATAAATCAGTGTCTTCATTTATTTTATTTTTATTCATTCAAGAAATATCTATTGAGTCCCTACTATGTGGCAGCAACTGATAATGGAAAGGTGAATGAGTCAGTCCCTATCCCTGAGAACATTAAGGAATAATCGACACGGAGGGTCCCTGGAACCAATGTTGCTAAATAAATAACCGACCCTGGGAAAGAGTAACCACACTTAAAAGGTGTCTTATGCTGGACTGTGTTTAGTTCCTGGGAAGTGTCCCCCTCGGGGAGGCACCATGTGTAAGAATGGGAGTTGTGCCATTTGCCAGTTACTACTTATATAATCCTAAGTTATCTAAACTCATGAGCCTCAATCTCTTTAAAAGCGGCGTAATAATCACACATACCTGACAGCGCTGCTGTGAGGATTTGAGAATAAAATGAAATAATCCATGTTATTAATCACTTTGCTCAGTTTCTGGCACTCAGTAAGAATACATACATTTAGTAGATATTTATGGGCTGAATTCCTTGTGGAAAGGGATTACATTTTAGTCTCTTTGTTAAATACTTCGAGGAATAGGACAATCAATCACACAAGAGGTGGGATCTAAAATGACTCTTCGTAATGATGTGGCCCAAAGAGTATTTCTTGGAGCACCAAAGCCAACAAGCTCTTTCTTCATAATAAAATAGTTGGAGAAATTCTGCTGGCAATGCAATTGCCTTCTCTTGAAGATTCATAATGTATATCAGTAGATTAAGGATGTTAGAAGAGTTTGTAATGAAGAAACCTGTTTAACTTTATTTAGTTCAATGTTTTCTAATCTTATTGGACCAATAATATAGCCTGGAAAAACCCAAACTCCTGAAGCTTCAACTTGGAAGGAGATTCTGGTCAGAGAGAGATGGTTGATGCCAGAGCCCCTGCCTCTCCTGAGGGTTTCTCCTTCCCCATGGAGTTCTCACTTTACTCTCTGCTGTTGCTATCTATTGACTTCCAGGGTTGTTCAGACGCCTCATTAAAACTCACAGTAGAGCTGATGCTGGCTGAAATATTACAAAGACTTTGCTAAACATCAGAGGGAGTTTAGAAAAGAAACATCAAGAAACACATCAGGCTGGGTGCAGTGGCTCACGCCTGTAATCCCAACACTTTAGGAAGCTGAGGTGGGCAGATCACTTTAGGTCAGGAGTTCAAGACCAGCCTGGCCAACATGGTGAAACCCCATCTCTACTAAAAATACAAAAATTAGCCGGTGTGATGGTGCACTCCAGCCTGGGAAGGGCAACAGAGCAAGACCCTGTCTCAAAAAACAAAAAACAAAAAAAGACAAAAGACAAAAAAGAAACACATGAAAGCCTGATGGGAGTTGTGGCCCCTACACAGCCAGCTCCTGGTAGGCATTGTCCCCTTGAGACCCTGCCTCCTTTCCATCCCTAACAGGCTGGTTGATCTGTGATCAACCCAATCCCAGTCCCCAATGCCAGCTGCCCCAAAGGAACCCGTCCCTTCCTGACCGCCCACACCGGTCTGGGGGCCACCATTGGCTCTTTAAGATATCACACTTGGGCCTATGAAGCTTCTCTTAATTAACTGACAAGCAGACACTGGGTTGAACCAATTAAATGAGCTCAGGGATGACTCACTGGAAGGAAATGCAGAGATAAGGAACCAGATAATCTGATTCACGTGGTCAGCCTCTCTAGGTTCTAGTTTATTTACCTGCAGAATGTCAGAGATGATGGATTTATCCAACCTCTGACTATGATTCTAAAATATCCTATAGCTTGGATCTCCCTGTCAGATAATAAGTCAGTTCTACTGGATTATTTTTTAATGTAACAAGATAAAAATTCTATGTAGAACTTACTTCTTTTTGAGACGGAATCTCTCTCTTTCTCCCAAGCTGGAGTGCAGTGGCACGATCTCAGCTCACTGCAATTTCTGCTTCCCGGGTTCCAGGGATTCTCCAACTTCAGCTTCCCAAGTAGCTGGGATTACAGGCGCACAACACCATGCCCAGCTAACTTTTTTTATTTTTAGTAGAGACGGGGTTTCACCATGTTGGCCAGGCTGGTCTCACTCCTGACCTCAAGATATCTGTCCACCTTGGCCTCCCAAAGTGCTGGGATTACAGGTGTGAGCCATCACACCCCACCAGAACTTTCTTTAAAATAAAAACAAACAAACAAACAAAAACAAGCCTGTAAATCCCAGCACTTTGGGAGGATGAGGTGGTAGAATCACAGGGTGAGGAGTTTGAGACCAGCCTGACCAACATGCTGAAACCCCATCTCTACTAAAAACACAAAAATTAGCCGGGCGTCATAGCGTGTGCCTATAATCCCAGCTACTCAGGAGACTGAGGCAGGAGATAATTGCTTCAACCTGGGGGAGACGGAGGTTGCAGTGAGCTGAGATCCTGCCACTACACTCCAACCTGGGTGACAGAGCGAGACTCTGTCTCAAACAAACAAAAAAACACTGGAGTTCTTTAGCTCTTAAAAAGTCTGAATTAGTTTTCCCCACACAGATATGGTCAGGAAGAAATGAGAAAACATGACTCTGACCTTGGGCAATTTCTGTTTCTACCTGATCCCTTTCCCCTTCCCTTTCCTCCAACATTACTCTTTTTTTTTTTTTTCCCCCTGAGATGAAGTCTCACTCTGTCGCCCAGGCTGGAGTGCAGTGGTGCGATCTCAGCTCACTGCAACCTCTGCTTCCCAGGTTCAAGCAATTCTCCTGCCTAAGCCTCCTGAGTAGCTAGGATGACAGGTGTGCACCACCACGCCCAGCTAATTTTTGTATTTTTAGTAGAGATGGGGTTTCACCATGTTGACCAGGCTGGTCTCGAACCCCTGACCTCATGATCCACCCGCCTCGGCCTCCCAAAGTGCTGGGATTACAGACGTGAACCACCATGCTTGGCCCATTACTCTTAAAATTATAAGATCTCACCCAAGGTGGAGGAAATCACTTAACTCATCCAGGGATAAGAACTTTTGTTAAAGGGTTGGTTTATTCCTTCACACACTTTGCACATACACAATCCTTCCCACCCCGATCCCCCCGCCTTTTCAATTGTTTATGGTCTGGTTGCTACTTCCAGGTATTTTGGGGTACCAGCAGGGAGACAGAAATGAGCAGGATGTATGGGAGAGTCAAATGTCCCTCTCCAAACAATTAAAGGCCTTCCTTATAAATGGCCTCTCTCTCTAAATATAAAAACTAACTATAAGAATCTCAAACTATCAGCCCTAAGAAACCAGGTCTTGTAGGATTGTAGAGTTGGCTGCTATGAAGGGAAGACTGGAAAAAGTGCCTCCAGAGACACAGGGGAGGTCCACAGCCTAATAGTTAAAATGCTCATCACTTTCAAGAACTTTCCTAACCCCTTTAGTTCTTTGATGTTAAGCAGGGAAGAGGGAGGCTTGGAGACCAGGGATGTCCTCCCAGGTTGTGCTGGGACCTGGGTAACTCTCAGGGCTGCCCTCAGGAGCCCTCTGCCCCTTGAACACTATGCTTGGTAGGAGTTACTGAAGGGCTGTGTATACTGAGTAAGCCCTTTCCTATCAATAAACCTCCATCAAGTCTTCAGAGCAATACCTGTCAAGAAGGATATGATACTTAGGGTGATGGTGACTGGGTAGGGAAAGGCTGATTTCTTTCAAAATCAGAAACAGAAAAATATACTGAAATAGACAATTGTTCTTAGTGTTGAAATATCATCCTGATTTCTCTGATAGTGCTACTTCCTAGGAAGTCACTAGAGATGAGATCTGAGTGACGGTTT